CGGGCAACCGATTTTATGGGAGGGGGCGGGTGGGGCATGTTAGGGAGCAAATTAGGTCGCAATTATTCTGTAAAATAAAAAAAACGTTACGCGGAGAGGTTGGATCGCGTACTCAAACTATAGGCAATGACACTGAGATAGGCGTCAATATCATCGCTAACCCCCCGCTCGACCAACGGTGAGCCCCTGTATGTCCATGGGGGTGTGCCTCAGCATCGGGCAAGGTCATTGAGGTACATTTTTTCTAGTGGTACCACCATTGCCAACTAGAAAATAGGTTAAAGCAGGACAAAGGCTTGCAGATTGTGAAAATCGCCCTACTTAAAATTTGTAAGTATGCAATTATTTCCGTGCTTAACTTAAAACGGCTCACGTTCCTTAGTATACTTAGTTATAGTATGCGGCGACCTTCGGAGGACCACTCTGCAGTTCCATGCCATCATATGATCCCCGCCGAAACAGCGGATTGCGTGTAGACAACTGGAAGATTATGGGTAATTCGACCAGCTTAAAACATTTAAGTAGGTGGCTCTATAACATGAGGACAATTCGAAGACACCATTTGGGAACCCTACGAATATCACTATTTTCAATAAATTTTCATAAGTAGTTCGAAGTTTGTGATGGTGATTGTCAGTGCGGGAGAATCATTTGCAGGTCAAATTAGTAGAACAAACATATTTCAGTGGCATTAGCGTTCGTTTGGCTAAATGTGCTTGCTCGCCAAAGGCCGGAAAACCCAAGGGAGAGTAGAATGCCCATTTTCGGCGTTTAAACCGTCGTCAGCCAGTCAAGTCAAGGAGAAAAGGAGACCCCCTGATACTCGAAGTCGCAAAATCTTTGAGCGAAGTCAAACACCCCTTAAGTCACACTACTAAGTCACATGCTATTTTGTTTTACTGATTCATGTCAGGGGATACTTGTGCTTGTTGATGAATGGTCAGCTGACCTCCAATGACGAGCCAAAGAGTTCGTTGCTTAATGATACGAAATCTGACTCATTTCAAAAATGTCCGGCGTTTGAGGATCGTGTGGGTATCCACTTCGACCTGCGCATGACTGGCTGAGGCTGGTTATAAAGCGATAAATGGCCTCACCGGTGTTTCTTGACTGTGTCTGCAATACTATTTACCGACTGCAGGCTGCTAAGTCTGTTAGGGCCTCTGTCGGGACCCAAACAGGTAGTGGCAGATTATTTCCGAAAACGGTCAGGTAGACGTTTACCAATAAGT